TCAATTTTCTGCAGAGTCTTTGATGTTCCTTAATCCAGACGCTGATTGTTATTCAAGCTTCACTAACATCTGTCCATGTTATGAAATAGACTCTCGAGAATCCAATTTTTCTTCGCCATTACCCAAATATTCCATCTGGCGCAGTCTTCGATTGTGTTTACGAGACTGCCGATATGTTATCTCTTAGGCAGTTTTCCGATTTCACATATACTTTTAATAATCCCTAGCGTGACATCTGCTATTCACAATCTTTATATTGACTTACTAATAAGAATCCTGGTTAACTTATTTAATTTATCTTCCCAAAAAGCATTGCTTGTTAGTCCTAAGCTTCTGATGATCAAGATCCTTAGTCTATTAATCTTTAGTGCATATATATGATGTATTTAAAGCTTAAAGATTATATCTGCATGCGATTTCTTGCTGAATAGTCTCGTATCAAGTCTTTTTTTGGTGCCTCTCCATCTTCTTTGTGAATTTAACTTTTTCATCAATCTAGTTTATAAACTCAGGAAATGGGTTTACATCTTCTCTAGAATGCGAGCAAATGGTAAAATGATCACAAAGAATCTAATGTGAGGATTAATTTCCTTCGTGCAACAATCAATAAAATATGACGAAATCATGATCTGAAGCAGCTGTAAAACGAGTGAATCTAAATAAGATTATTCAAGAAAGATCTTTAAAAGGAAGCATTTCTATCAAAATTTTAGTCACAACTAAAATTATTTATGCGTATTAAGCTAAAATGTTCACATTTTGTTTAGTATCAATAAAACCTAGATACTAACTTTTTCGTCATGATAGATTATGTTACAGATTCCCTGGAGTAGCGTAAATACGATGCAGTTGCCTTAGCTTTCTGAACAAGTATCATCAAAACGAAATTATATTTTTTATTTGACTTTTATATTTATTTTTTAATCTGTAAAGGGCAATTCACTATTATATTACCATAATGAACAATATCTACTATGGCTCATTTTATTTAAACCCACTCCTTCTATGCAATTACTCTGTACATTTTCTCAAAAAGCATGCCAGAATTTGCTTCAACCTACCTAATAAAAAGTAAGGAGTAAAGTGAAAAAATGACTGCAGAAATTAAGGCGAGTTAGGCACTTCAAAAGGTTACTAGCTAAAATGGTCGGCTGAAATAGGCATAATTATTCAAATTCTCTTTTGGGCAGAAAATTGTCCCTTTGGGTGAATTCCGTAGGAATAAGTTAAACAATTATGAAAATAAGACTTGGACAACACTTTTTATTTTTCTACCAATAATATTAACATTATGGCATTATATTCATAATGAATAAGTTTCGATATTATCCATTACGCATATGGTGATGAAGGACTGGTAATTTAATTTTTCAGCAATGATATGAGTATACTTTGCATTTCTAATGAATTTTACTTAGCCGTACTTCTCATCCAAGACTACTTTTACCGGCATGATTAAATTCAACTATTAATCCTTCCGCACTTTATGTGCAGATTGGTAAGTCTAGAGTGATCAAGTTAAATCGCATTTCCTTCTCAATATTATTTCAAACAATAATAGTTACGTTAACTTAGTTGAGATAACAAAATACCCCTAATTTTCCTGTTATCTGCAACCGTTATGAATCTCAAAAGTGTGAATAGCAGTCTCAAAATTGCCTATATGTATCTTATAGGACAAAAGGGCGCTTAGATAAAGAGGCTGTAGTTGTTTTGGGTTTTAAGGTGCATATGACTTGTAGCCCAAGGGTATCAGAAGTGTCTAGCCTATGAGATTATGTATTTTCTTCTAAATCCAAACTGTAAGGGTTAGGATCGCATTAAAAGCGCTGAACAGATCAAGAAAGCTGGATGATGCAATATATTCTTAGTTAAAATGCCCTCTTTAAATGCAAAATACATTGAAAATCAGTGATCCAATTAGACCCTCTCTTTTTATATACTACCGACTCAATGAAAGTAAAGAGCGTAGCAATGTCACAAATACATTATTATTGTCATTTCTTGATAGAAGCCGTAACTGCCATGAAATTTTCATCTTACTTGTAACCCAGTGGCGCTATAGTAATGTTGCTCATTAGAAAGTTGATGGCACCTATGCAATCTCTTAGCTGAGGTACCTACCAACCGTTTGCTTATGCATTTGTGGCATAGTGAAATTAATTGGTGAAATCAAGCCCTTAGCAGTGCTTTACATAACGCATAAAAAAATAATACGAAATTACATTTGTTTAAAAGTTTATGGTCTTTTCCAAAACTTAATAAAAACCCTCAGTTAACATGAAATTTAATACTTGAAGAAAATCCATTAAAGCTCGCTTCAAAGGGATTACCTCTATCTTTACTAACCCTTTTACTCAACCTTGGCTCTAGGTAGGACCAGTTTCATACGGCACACTAAATGTGACGTGTGCTCTAGGTATATTGTTTACGTTACTATGCCCTAGTGCTGAGGATAAAGGAATTTACATAATCATATCTAATTATTTTAATATATTCCCTCTGCGCTATACCGATGACTAGGTAATAGTTGAGACATTATGCCCACATATTTGGGAGGAACAGGCTTAGCAACATGATGAATCAAAGAAGAAGTGTTCACCAAGTGAAGCCTCTGCTATCCTCTTTATGTGACTTCCATAGACAGAATACAATATTGAGTCTTCTCTTTTGCATCAATTTGTCTATTTTAGCCTGTGCAGACTATTCTTTCTCAAATCTTACAAAGGTCCTCAACATAAGTAACCTATTTCTCAGTTAAATATATCTAAACAAAATTAGTTAAATTCACCGTGAAATTTGCTCGGATCTTCTTTTAATTTTTCTATTATTTTGCTGTCCAAACCAGATGCCTCTAATATTCGGCCTAGCACCTCCATATCGTCTGTTATATCCGTGCCCAGAGCATTCAAAAGCAATTCTAATCCCTCAGCTCCACCCCCCATAGACTCGAGTAGAGAGTTTAATGTATCAATTCCGCCACCTGCCGCCCGAAGCAACGTTTCCAGACCTTTAACTCCACCATCGCCGTCCTTAGATCCAACTACTGAAATCAACATGGCTAGCGCATCCTTTTGACCACCAATGGTCTGCATTAAAATCCGGAGTGCGTCTCCCCCACCTACACCATTTGCCTCTTCTTTTCCATCAATGCCTAGAAATGCAATTAGAGCAGATGATTTATGAAATATTGCACAATAGCAAAAAATGCAATGTACCAAGCCAGAATTTTTTAAATCAATTTAAAAAGTTTTATTACAATTCTAAATCTGAAAATGGGCTGTAAAAATATATTATAACAAAAATCCCACTCAAAAGTTATAAAATAATCATCAAAATAGACAATAAGTTGGTAAAATAACTTTAACAATAAATTAAATTTAAAAACTGAATGATGTAGAAATATATTAGTGATCCCATTGTAAACTTTAAATTAACACCCTCTAGCTGAGCTGACTTTGGTACCTGCCGTTCCTGAATCTAAAATAGCCGCAAATAGGAGAGCCATGCCCTTCTCTCGGTCTCCATCACCTCCCAGGGCATCCAGAATACGAGCCAGGTTTGCCGTCGCTTGGCTGGAAGAAAGGGAGCCGTCCATATTTCCGCCACTTCCTAAGGAGTTTACTGCCTCCATCAGATGTTTAAGACCAGTTTCACCACCACCAGCAGCCCGCAAAATGCTGGCCAGTCCGTCTTTTCCTCCGCCTGCAGCTGAGATCAGCAATTCTAGCCCATCTACAGAAGCTATGAGTAGGTTAAATGGAATGGATAACAAACGTAGACTAAGAAAAAAAGAAAACTAAAGCATAAAGCTTAAATAATAGAATAAAATAAGTCGAAAAAATGTTTACTCAATTTGTTTAAAGATTAAATATTAAGTGAACTGAGAATAATTACAATAAAAAATGAATCAAGCCTAACGACAAATTTCACAGGCAAGTTAATTATTCTCGATCACAGATGCATGCAAGTTTGTTTCAAAAGCCTGTAGACCTTCAAAATACATTTCAATGTGAGTGCTGTTAATTGCATGGGTCACGATTGATGAAACCCAACTGAAAGTACTCAACAGTTAATTCAACTATATTTTTACATGTCGCAAACAAATATATATAAATCCTTGATCTAACTTTTAAGTTTTATCCAGCATATATGAACTGTGTCGATAATGATCATAGAAAGGCTAACATTTCATTTTCACCATATAAGAATTCCAACAAAGTAAAAGATTATTTTTTTAATCAAATTTTGGCAGAACGATGGCAATCCATTAAAACGCATTTTGGTGCTCCCCAAATAATTTGCATCTCCATGTCAAGGCGAGATAGGGTATAGTATTCGCAAGGTCTATAAAGAAAAAAAGCCAAGATAACAACAAATCTTCATATTACATCCACTATCTTTAACATTAGGATATGAGTTTGCTAAGGCTAGCTTGTTCAATCAGGCGGAAGCATCAGATTAGTGGAAATTAATTTTCCAATTTCTCCAACCCGGATAACACGTATCCGTATATGTGCTTGAGAATATCCTTATGCAGCCAAATTCGTTATAGCAATTCATATTTTGCAGCAATTTCTTATTTAAACATCCTATAAAATAGGTTACTTCATGATCTAAGTAATCCTTTAATAAAAATAAAGGAGCCCTTTACAGTCGCAAAGCTGATCAAATAAATAAAATATCAAGAATTCTAGTTTCTTATCAAGGTCATAATAAAGTATATTTTTTTCTTTGGTTCCTATAACATGAAAATTACCTTAATCTTTTGCTTAGATGGGTTTGTAGGTCAGTCTCGTATCAGACAATACAGTTTGCATAATGTCTCTATATTTATATTATAAATTATTAGTTATTTCATACTATTATTATATTATTAGAAGCGCTATTAGAAGACTAGGAAATTTAGTATCCGCTAAATGTACAGCATATGCTTGATTTCCATAGGTCAAAAAATAAATTCCTATCGGCCCCTGAATTACAGAAAAAGATTATTTAATTCCTCTATCACACTGTAAAATTCATGTTTATTTAATTTTAAAATGATTTATATTTCAGTTTAAATAAAATATAATCTTGGCAGCGATTTCTATTTGATGGCTGCTAAATGTTTCATTTAAAAACGAAATAAGGGTTATGAGCTCAAGTTGTTCTTAATTTCTTCTCATCTTATTGTGTATCTCATGACAAGTTTTATTAGCATCACTAGATTGCCCGAGGCTATGAAGATTATAAGAGCTGCCTTCACTCTATTTCTTTGAAGGTAGTGAAGCTCTTATACCAGATCTACTGGTCGTCTTGAAAAACGTCTTGATAAGATGTATCATAGTTATCTAGTGTCATTGTGACTGCTATATATCCTACCTATAAGGAAGCACATAGGAAAGTTGAGATTGCACTCTGGAATCCTATTTTCATTCAAACCGATTACGATTTCGACACTATATAGATAGATTCCATCAGTATTCATGCTGTAGTGAATTTCAGTCTTCTCATTGAACCTCTTTTTATCTGTTTGGAGATACTTGTTACCAGGCGAGGTGAAAAAAAACGAAACTGGTTTATTTTGTCAACTGCTATTACGAGAAAATATGTCAATTTATCGAGCAGAGTAAAGTTGTCTAATTTTTTGCTGTTAAGCGATGCAATCCTTGATAAAAACGGTAACTCCTGGGTTAAAAAGCAAATATTTCTTGGCCTACAAATCACTCACGATCTTGTTGTATTGACTGCAGGATAGATGAAAGCCCTTTTGCTCCACCGCCAGCAGCATTGATGAGTGATGTTAGGCCCTCCTCGCTGCCATTGTCGCCTCCTATAGCTCGTAAAATTGTCTCTATGCCTTTCTTGCCACCCCCTAAAGATTGGAGGAGTGCAGAGAAAGCACTTGATGGGTCACTATCACCCCCTACTGCAGCTAAGAGACGTTTGAGACCATCAGAGGCCGAAGGTTTGCCACTGCCATCTGCATTGCTTGCTCCCAAAGTGTTCAACAATCGGGTGAGACCGACATCTCCACCTCCTATTGCTTTAATCAGTCCTTCTATGCCGGCATTCTCATTCCCAAACAACGAAATAAGTGTCTTTAAACCATCGTCTGAGCCTCCAAGTGCAGCCAAAAGTGAGGCTAAACCAACTTCTTCGCCGCCCAAAGATTCAATTAGCATCTGAAAATAAGACAACAATAAATATGAATAATGAACCATTATCCCTTCAATGTTAATGACTCGTGAGTATAATAGGCTTAAGCTATAAAGAAGCACAGCATAATATTCATTAATTCAAAATAATCTCATCATGGTGCAATAAGGGCTAGTTTGAAACGAGCGCAAATTTATTTAGTAAATATTTCATGAGCTTCTTCAAACGAATCCCAAACCAATTTAAGCAAAGCTATAGAAATATCCACCAATACGTGATTTGGAAGACATCTTTACTCAAGCAAACTTCGTCAATAAATAAGTTAAACTATATATTATTGTTATGTTATGAAGAATTCCTTTCCCGGTTTATATTTATCCTCTTCAGTTTAAGTGTTATCAGTGTTTAAAATCAAGCTTCACTTTAAATGGCCTATGATTGTTATCTAAAAGGCTGATATCATCTGCTATAAGGCATAAACATTAGTCAAATAAGGATGCTTTACCTCGCATCATGTTTTTACTGTGAACAATTTTTCCTCTTGTATATTACGCCCAGGAGTAATCTTTTGACTATAAATCTTGGTAATATGAATATCAAAATCGCATTAGAGAAGATGTCCAAGATGACGTTATCTTTTTTTCATACCAGCAAGCGATGAAAATAACCTAATATAATCTACTGTAGAAATGAAAACGAGCGAGTTTAACTCGTTGCTGATAATATTTTTTCATCTGGTATACTTCTCAGTACCGAAGATTGACTGCCGACCAGAGAAAGTTCTTCAATTGTTCGAGTAATTTCCATTTGAGCAGTAGAAATTCTGCAAGGATATTCGTTTGTAAAATTAAGAATAAGTTAAGCTACAGCCCTGAAAATTCTGCCAATAACTAGAAAAGAGGTGACATCATTTATGAAAGATGTCAATCATAGCGTAAAGAAAATAAATTCTAAGAGTTTGAAAGAGCCACGGCAGGAAAAGATGGAATTACGTTTACTCTTCCAGAAAAGCTCTGACAAAATGTCATCATTCTCAGTTTATCATAGAAAAAGCAGGAATAAATATTCTGAAAAATGAGAGTTATGAGGAAAGCTAACTCTTTTCAAGATTCTGTAGCATGAAACCGATTCTATTTGAAGGCAGCTATACAGTCCTTGGGCTTTAGCGCTGGGCAAGACGAATGTTAAATCGAGTCAAACTTACTTGTCCTACAGCCGTACTTCTTCAGACTTTGAAGCAAAGAAAGTAAGGAAGCAGAGGACAAGTTGAAGCACAGCTAAGAAGAATATCATAGAACGTTTTTCTAGGTTTACTAATCCATTAGAAAATTAAAAATTCTACAATATCATGTCATTTAACACTCCATTTTGATTAAAAAGTTGGATTAAATTGACTAGTAAAGTCGTCATTTTAGATAAAAGAAGATAAAGTTGTCCTAAGCTGTCATCCGTCATGGGACAGCCATCATCGCAGCCCGAACTCATCCTTTAGGAAGATTCACCAAGCTCAACCAATAAGGGTTGCCGGTTGCAATTAAGCGTAATTTCCTGTGATCCGACTCATAAATGTAGGAGACCGTAACCTTGGTCCGCGAACAATCAATTAATAAACAATCTAGTTAGGAAGGTGTACAAAACCTTATGGTCGAAACATACGCGCAGTTTACATGTGGAGGATTGTGTGGATCGAGCCACCCAGACGGTGTGCCACACGAAAGAGGCATCGCGACCAAATCCTGAAAATATGCGCAACTCGGAGACGTAGCACCAATTTAAAGCCGATTTTGGTGAATAAGCAAAGCAGTCCTTTACTTAATGATATGGTCGTCAAAGGAATTTGCTTCGGTTATGTATCCGAATGAGCTCGATCCTTCGCATGACTTTGCCATAGTAGAGATGTGAGAATAAAAGAAGACAGGACAGAGAACATTACGCAAATTAGAAGAGACACACAATTGCCGTATGGGTTACGAATTTATCAAGGGGATGGTGGATCGTCGGGATTTTCCAGTGATGAT